GTAAGAATTAGACAACTGCTTTTCTTATTAACTTTAACAAAAAAAAACACAAAGCTTACTCGTACTGTAACACTAGCCACTCTAAACTGTTTTTTGATTGTTTATTTATTCAGAGAAGTTTGAACTTGCTACAAATGCTGAAGTAAAAAGTTAATAATCACTTGAAAACAGTTATTTATTTATTTTTTAAACTGTTACCATGTTTTTTATCTAAAAAAAATGAGCTTACAATTACAACTTCTTATCTTAATAAGTAGAACCTTAATTGGGTTTATTATCTCAAGTAAATTCAAAATTAATATAAATAATGTAATTTATTAATGTAATTTTGAATATTACTATGACTTTTTTCAAACTTATGAATAGTAAATATGTAAGTTCACTCTTATTTTTTTTTACTTCGATTCATTAAATTTACTTTCATTTAATTAATTATGCATACTTCCATTTTTTTGTTTTTCAATCCTGCATCTATGATGTTTACGAAAGTTTTATCTTTGAAAAAAAAATATTTTTTATCTCTTTATTTTTCTGTAATTGATTTCTTTCATACATAGATACAACAAACCTTGTTTTGGAATTCAATGTATTAAAATAAAGTAATGGTAGTAGAATTTATCTAAAATAAAAAGTTATCTGAGATAAACAATAATTTAAAATAGTTATGTTTAAAAATTTTACTGACAGCTAATACAATCATTGTTAAAGGACGTGATGTAAGGTGCCTCATAAGTTAAAAAAGCCTAAAAAATCAAAATTTAGTGTTTTTTTACTTGAAATTTATTCTGCGTTCAGAAAATATATATCCTTATATATCGTCAGTATACTAAGGAAATGCACTAAGTTCATTTTTGGCCGTTTGGAGTTATTTATACCACTATTCAGTATTTTAAATTCTCTATCACTTGATATACCACACAAATTTAATAAATCAATTATTAACGAGTTATTAAGATTTTATATTTCCACTATTACACAAAAACTTATTATTTTAACAATTAGGCAAAAACTTATATGTTCATTATCTCAAAATGTTTTTGGACGCACTTTCCTTGTATACCGACGATATATATTTTTAAATTCAATATTACAATTTATTTTTTTTTTTTTCTTATTTATTTTTTTATTAGATTAATTCTTTTTAGCTTCTATAGAAACGCTCCTAGAAACAAAGTCATTTTAGCTAAGATTATTTCATAATCTCATAAATTTTACTTGAAATTTATTCTGCATTCAGAAAATATATATCCTTATATATCGTCAGTATACAAGGGAAATGCACTTTCATTTTTGGCCGTTTGGAGTTATTTATACCAGTATCTAGTTTGGAAACTTGCTCATTAGAAAATAACAATATTTTTTTTCTAAAGAGTAAAACTGTTAAATAGACACCAACGATTTACAAGTTTTTTAAGAAAAATTAACTGTTTTGAGCCTTAATTATAACCTTAATCAGACCATAAAACTATAGTGTGCAAAACTTAAAAGTCGCAAGTCTTTCCAATTTGATCTTATTTTAATTTTAATTTTATACATTCAACTTATTATGAAACATAAACTAATAGTGAGTTATAATAAATTTTTAAAATGAGTGTTGGTGTAAAATATTTTTCTGCATATTTTTATGTATAATGAAACGTGAATAATTTTTTATTTTTTATTTTTATAATTTTTTAGACATGTTTCAGTCCTGAAAAAATAAGTAGTTTTAAATAAAAGCCATATAATTAGATGATCTTATTTAGTTCAAGTATTTACGTTTCATTACACATAAAAACAAGCGGGAAAATATTGTATATGTTATACAATATGTTCAACATAAATAAATTCAAACTTAAATAAATTCGAAATATCAATCAATCAATCAATCAATATATTTTCACTTTAATAATACTGTATATATATACAATTGTGCGGGACATTTACAAACAGTTATAAACTGATGACGTGTAAAGACCTATAATGGTATAAATAATAACATAATAATAATAATAATAATAATAATAATAATAATAATAATAATAATAATAATAATAAATAACAATAATAAATATTATTAATAATAATAAAAATTAATATTAATAATAATAATATTAATAATAATATTAATGCAGTAATATAAAACACTATAATCAATATATATTTTACTACTATAATCAAAATAAAACATTTATAGCAAATAGTGATTATCCTTAATAATAAAGCAAAATAAAAATATAAGAATCTTAATAATATCAATAACAAAAAATAGGACAGATAAAAAGTAGGAAAAAAAAATAAAAATAGTTGAAGAGAATTAAGCAGGGGCGATTGCATAGGAAATAGTTTATTGTATATTTATTAAATGTTAGATAGTTTAATAACAATGCCACAATCTTTAAGAGCCATATACACTATATCGGATGATGAAAATAAGGTATTTGATTGCGACTAGATGAACATTTATATATTTTTATGTTTTACTTTTAGAGTTTTGTATTTTTTATTTTTATTTTTAGAGTTTTATATTTTTATTTTCATTTTATGAGTTTTATATTTTTATTTCTATTTTATGGGTTTTATAAATTTATTTTTTATACTTTTATTTTATTAAAAATTCAGTCACAAAGAATGACTAGGGGGTGATAGCATAAATGATCGTTCATTGATTATCTTTATTGAGGAGAAACTTTTTTACATGGGTTATGAAGGCATTTCTATTTGTCATTTTGGAAAATACTATTTTAGTTTCAACAGGAAGAGAGTTCCAACAGTGAATTGATTGATACTTGATTGATTTTATGCCATACTTATGTGTTAGTTTTAAAGGCTTAGAGAGACTACAATAATAACTTAAATAAATAACTTAAATAAGTTCAATTTATGCAAATAAAAAAATTTTAAAAAACATTTTGGACTTTATTTGGGTTTAGATAGACTGTTATCAAAAAAAAAAGTTAAATATTTTTATCTTTAAATTAAAAAAAAAAACTTTTTAGCTCGTAAACTTTAACTTAATGCACGAAAAAAAAAATAAACCGCTGGTTTTGTTTACTTTTTAATGACGCTTTTAGTTACGTTTACTTTTTGTTGTAACTGCGTAAGCCGGTTTCCGGCAAAGTATAGACTAAAAAACGTGCTGGTGAGTTTCCTGAGCAGTCCGAGAGTAATGATCGAAAAAACACTTGTTATTTTGATAGACTTATTTATGGTTGTTACTCTTTGTTGTAGATCTTATTATTTGTGATTATTAATTGAGTTTTCTTAAAGCAGTAGTTTTTCTTTATTAACTGTGGTTATAACAATTGGCGACGAAGATAAAAATGATGTATTTGGCTAATATATCGAGTTTTGATTTAGAAAATGACGATTTTGTTGAATATATTGAAAGATTTGAAAATTATTTACTTGCCAATAACATACAGGAGACAGAATTACAAAAAGCCGTTTTTCTATCAACTATTGGAGGACCTGCTTACAAACTTCTTCGTAGTTTATGTGAAAATGACACTAAAAATAAAAGTTTTACTCAACTAATAAAGTTAATGAGAGACCATTTAAAACCAACCCCAAACTTCATTGCACAACGGTTTCAATTTTATAAAAGAGACTGAAAAGAGGGAGAATCAGTGAATGGATATATTACTGAATTGCGCAGATTATCAGAGCATTGTGAGTTTAGTGAGAAGTTAAATGATTACTTAAGAGATAGATTTGTGTATGGATTAAACAACGAAAATGTACAGCAAAAGTTATTAACCATAAAAAACCTTACATTAGAGACAGCATTAGACACAGCAAGAGCATATGAAGCGGCATATAAAGATGCTAAGATTTTACGTGGTACTAGAGAGGGTCATACAGAACAAAAAGAAGTGCACAAGATGGATACTCGGACAAGATTTGAGAAAAATAGAGAATGTTTTCGATGTGGCTATATGGGTCATCAGGCAAACAATTGTCATTATCGCAACTCAAAGTGTCACTTATGTGGGAGAATAGGACATATAAAAAGAAGATGTCAATCAGAAAAAAAGGAATTTGAGGGTAGGAAGGAGAAGAAATTAGGAGTGAAACAAGTTGAAATTCGTGAGGGTTCAGCTAAAGGAAACACTGCAGACACAGATGAAAATGATAGTGATTTTTTAGCCTTGTATTCATTAGGTGAGGAGTCTGAGAGGGTGAATGGGCCAGTTATGGTTAATGTAAAAATCAATGGTAAAGAGGTAGGAATGGAAGTGGACACAGGAGCTGCTGTTTCCGTAATGGCTGTTTCAGCTTATAGAAGAGTGAAAGGAAATAAAGGAAAGTTAAGAAGGTCTGAAGTAGTGTTAAAGACTTACACAGGAGAACTTGTAAGACCAGAAGGAATAGGACTTGTTGAAGTAGATTATAAAGGACAATGTTGCAGTTTACCTATAACTGTAGTTAAGGGAAATGTACCTACATTAATGGGAAGAGATTGGATTTATAGACTAAACCTGGAATGGGCAGATTTGTGTAAAGGGATTAAAAAAGTGAACATTTGCAATAGGTTGGATTCCAGGGTAGAGGCATTAGTTGCGAAATTTCCAGAGGTGTTTAGTGATAATTTAGGGTGCTTAAAGAATTTTAAATGCCACATACCTGTACGTGAGGGTGCACAACCAAAGTTTTTTAAACCAAGACCAGTACCGTATGCTTTGAGGACAAGGATTGAACAAGAGCTTGATCGCTTGGAAAACCAAGGGGTTTGGAGAAGGGTTGAATATTCACAATGGGCAGCACCTATAGTGCCTGTTCTAAAGAATTCAAAAGACCCTACGGGCCCTTTACGTATATGTGGGGATTATAAAATTACAATAAATCAAGCTGCCTCTCTGGATACCTATCCAATCCCAAACACCACAGATCAGTTAGCCACTATTGCAGGTGGACAAAAATACACCAAGCTTGACTTGTCCCAGGCATATCAGCAACTTGAGTTGGATAAAACTTCACAAGAGTTTCTAACAATAAATACGCATCAAGGTTTATATCAG